GCTTCATGGGGTTGTGATCCTCATTGTCTTTTCCTAGGATACTGTCTAAAATATTTTGGAGTGTTAGTTTGGTATTCATGAAGTTTCTAAGGTTCTCTTTATCATGAAAGTATCTCATTTCTCCATTAATTTTGAAAGATAGTTTTACAGGGTACACCAGTCTAAGTTGGAGGCTGTTTTCCTTTAGGGATTGAAATACATCACTCCAAGCTCTTCTTGCCTTGAGGGTTTTGCATTGAGAAGTCTGCTGTGATTCTGATGGGCTTTCCTTTGTATGTGATTGTTTTCTTTTCTCTCACTGCTTGTAGAATTTTGTTCAGTTGTGTTTCTGAAATCCTAACTAGTATATGACTATGTGTAATTTTTTTTTACCAAGGCTAGTTGGAGTCCTATGCCCCTCATTTATCTGTATGTCAAGTTCTTTTCCCCTGCTTGAGAAGTTTTCTACCATCACTTGTATGAAAAGTTTTTTATGTCATCTGCACTCTCTCCTGTTTCTTCATTGACTCCCATCAGTCTTTTGTTATTGTTCTTTGCATTGTCTAGGAGCTGCTGAATTGCTTTCTCATGGTCCCTTACAATTTTTAAGCAATTTCTCTTTTCCTGGTCAATAATTGCAATCTTATCTTCTATATCTGAAATTCTGTCCTCACTTTTGTTCACTCTGGTGTGTAGACTTTCAATGGAGTTTTTAATCTCCTTGAAATCTGTTTGTATATGTTTTATGGATTCCAGTTGTTTCCTATGTTGGGATTTCATCATGTTTCTCAGATCCTCTATTTTTTATCTGTAGCCTCTCTAGATTTACTAATCATGTCTTGCACTATGGGCTCAATCTTTGCTGTTATCTGAGAAATTATTTTTTATTTAATTTTTTCCAGATCCTCTTTTGTTGCCAGTTCATGGTGTCCAAGTGTTTGTGTATCAGATTGTTCCATCTTGTTTCCATTTGGGTTGCTGTAGTTGATCTGGAAGTCTGTTTTTGAGGCTTGTTTATGTGTCTTCTCATTTCCCCAGGGAGGAGGGTGCTCCTGGTGCCCACACAGCTCACCTCCTCTGCATTAGGAGCAGTGGAATTGCAGAGGGGTATCCTCCTCCTGGGTGCCAGGATTGGCTCACTTCTTCTGTCCTAGGAGCAGTGGAATGGAGGCAGGGGAGCCTCCTCCTGGGCACCAGGATTGGCTCACCTCCTCTACCCTAGGGGAGGTGGAATGGCAGCAGGGAGCCTCCTCCTAGGTGCTGGGATTAGCTCACCTCCTCTGCCCTAGGAGCTGTGGAATGGCATCAGGGTAGCCTCATCCTTGGTGCTGGGATTGGCTCACCTCCTCTCCCCTAGGAGGAGTGGAATGGCAGTGGGGGAGCCTCCTCCTGGGAGTTGGGATTGTCTTGCTCACATCATTCTTCTCTGCTTTTTGCTCCTGATTCTCACTGTTCTTCAGGCTGAGAGTGGCCAACAGTACTCATGCATAGCCTAAATTATAGACTGCCTTGAAATTTTCTCTTTTAGATTATATAGTCCACTATCTTTAATCCAAGTGTCCCTCAGGGTCTCAATACATGGGAAAAATGTACACAAATTTTCTGCCAAAGAGCAACAACATTGCCTCTACCGTAACTGCCACTGGAGTCCTTGTTTCCACCTTAAAACTTCTCAACCTGATCTGTACTGTGTCCACTGATTATCAGCATTGTCATTTTCTGAGCTCTGACCAGCATCACCCATCAAACATTGCTCAAAGCATTCTAAGGCTTCTGGAGCCTATGCATAGAAACCTTTCCAAACTCTTCCTGCAAACAAGTTCCAAAGGCTTCTGAACCACATGGTCAAATAAAATCACACCAACAACACCACTCATAGTTAAAATCTCCCTCATGACCTCATGATCACACCCAGATATCCTATCTTTTAACACCATCACCAGAATGTTAGCATTTTGACATCTGAACTTCCCTTCATTTTCCATGTCTGTATGATATCCTTCCCTTCTTATACTGGCATCCCATCCTTTAGAGAACTGGCCTGACATCATGTGACCTGTGCACTTGCCCAGGGTGCCACACTCAAATGGATCAAGTGTTCAGTTACAGACTCTGCTCTCAGCATACTGAAATTGTTAATAATTGTGTCCCAGAGCTGACATGAAATCAGAAGACTATGCAGGATGACAGGATTAGCATAGTTTTGGTCCAATAGGAGTTTCACGTCTATTCTCAAGCAGAATAGAAACTACACAGAAACTGATGTGTCCTCCTCATGTGCACATACATTTACCCTGGAAGAGTCTGGAACTGAGGTATTCCCAGGGAGTGACTGGGTTGGACATGGCTTGCATCAGTGTCGTGATGGCAGCAGGAACTGTGCATAGGATGCAGGGGTGAATGTGGGTCTTTCCTGGTGAAAGGTCAGAGCCCTCCTGGAGCAGTACTGAGCAGCCATGGAAGTGGATTCTCAGCTGTTCCAAGCTGACCTCTGTGAAGTCCACACAGCATTCACTGCCCATCTTGAAATGACTGGGAGTTTAGGGATGACACAATATCAGTAAATTATTACAAAATAAATCTGTATTTATGATCATTGCAAGAAAAAGTAACACATATTTGTAAGAATTTATTAATTTAAGAATGTATGGCCTTAAACATTTCTACAGCATGATAAAGAGAACATCTGTAGGTCAAAACTAGACAGATAATTGAGATATCTTTTAACATTTTGAAAATTAAAACTAATGATCATTTCATATGCAAAACATTATTTTATTATGAATAGTC